GGTGTAGTTAGCCCTTGAAGCTGGGATGAAGTGGGATTTTTATTTTTTGCAAGACTATATCTTAAAGAGGCGTGTGCAACTATTCTGTACATTACACATACCAATACGATCATAATAATGTGCATTTGTATTGGATCAGCACTAAAATGACATGCGCTACTCTACTGATAATTTTATCAATCCAAATGTTCTGTCGTAAGTGGTGGCGGCTGCAGTGGACGTAGGACATGATGCAGTGGCCTGCACACGGCCATTTCCAACGACCTGAATGGAGTTTCTGACAAGATAACATTCGCGGCGTTTGGTATCCGAACCTCGCCTGGGTTATTCCTCCGGGGTGACTCGGCCTGAGATGAGTTTCCGGTAAACTCTTTTGTCAGCAGCACAACTGGGCAAACGGAAGGTGGCCAGCCACGTGCTGTTTTGGCCCCACCGTTACCCTGTCCCGTGTTGCTGTAGTGCTGCGGTGGCCCTAATAGACGCTCGCTCACAACACTTTGCTCCAGCGGTCAGTGTGGCTGCACGGGGGATATTAGCGTATGTGTGTGTAATATACGAACACGCCGTTGAGCACCATTTGTTTTGACTGTAATGAAAACGAGTCGCGGTTGCCCGGCACTCGGGTTTGCGCTTTTTTGCACATCAAAGCCTCGCCTTTTAGCGTGCTCTTGCTAATGCTACGGCGCGGCTAACGACGCCCGGCGCTTCGTAACCGCCGCTCGAGGATCGACCCCGCGCGCACGTGCCGGCCACGGCCTTCGGAGCCGTGCTCATGCTTGCATCCACCGTGCTCGGAGCGCAAAAAAACGAACTCGCGGTGGAATTCCCTTCTCCCCAAAGCCGCCTAGTTTCCGCTGGGAAGCCGGTAATGGCCGACGCCACAAAAATGCGCGCGTGAGCGCGTGCGAGGCTGTGAGCCTGCAGGGACGGGGCGCCACTCGGCCCCTGTAGACGCAAAGCGCCATCACGCAAACACAGCCCCTTCTCATCGGCGAAGTGATGAAGGGGGTACCTCTCTTTAGACCCGGTGTGCAGCAGTAGTTGTAGATATGCTGAACGTGTTTACATGTATACAGTACGTTCAGAGTGTGTGTGTGCACGTGTTTATGTGGGGAGCGGAAGGGCAGCGGTTTGCACACTGGGCAATGAACCTGGCGACCCGAGTTCAATTCCCGCTCACAACCAACACCAGTGACGATTATCTGAATCCGTTCTGGGCCTCCCCTAGTTCGACTCTGCCTCCAATAAGTACCTGGTGCGGTGTGGAAACATCGCCACAAGGGAGACAAAGGTGGCCGGGCTTGGTGCTGGCCACCCACCTCCTCGTGTGCTGTGCCGGCCTTCATAGATGCTCGCTAACAGCACTTGACCCAACAGTTAGTTCAGGCTATACGGGGGGTCTTTGTATGAGGGAGATTGTGAAGCGATTTGTCTACATGTGAATAGATAGGTAGAGAGATGGACAGATTTAATTTGTAATCAGGAGAGCACCAATTCAGTAAGCGAGTTAATTTATAAACGTGCAACTCTTATAACCTCTGTTATCACGAGTCCCTTTTAAAGGAGACCTGGAATTAACTACTGGCACACGAAGCATTTTATATGGAACCCAAAATTCAATGAAATGTAGCAGTGGTAATTTAATATGTAATGCATTTTGGTGTCTGGGGTCACTGTTATAAAAAATGCATGAAAAAGTGTGAGTGTGCATATTTTAATATCCCCTTCTCAAAACTGATCGTCCCTAGCATCTGTGTGTATGTCTGCGTGTATGTGTACGTGTGTGTGTGTACTCGTCTGCATGTGTGTGTCTATATTTCTGCTTGTGTATTGTGTGTATGTGTCTACGTGTACGTGTAGGTGTTTGCGTGTGTGGGGAGCGGTAACACAGTGGTTAGCACTCTGCACTATGAACCCAGTGACCCGAGTTCAATTCCTGCTCACGACCAGCGGCGGTGACGATTATCTGAACCGGTCCTGGGCCTCCCCTAGGTCGACTCAGCCTCAATGAGTGCCTGATGCGATGTGTAAACATTGCCACCAGAGAGACAAACGTGGTCGAGCGTGGTACTGGCCACCCACCTCCTCGTGTGCTGTGCCGGCCTTCATAGATGCTCGCTAACAGCCCTTGCCCAAATCGTCTGTTAAGGCTATACAGGGAATCTTTGTTTATTTGTTGTGTCTGCGTGTGTGTACGTCTCCGTGTCTGTATACGTATTTATACGTGTGTGCACGTGTTTGCATGTGTGTACGCTTCTGCGTGTCTGTGTGTGTAAATGTGGCTTGCAGACCATGACGACCCTGTTTTTTCTGGCGCACACTCACAGCGAGAAGTGGAGCGAGCGTTTTTTGTTTGCCGGTTGAGCCTGTGTCTGAGGCTGTTTGCATTGCCTCTGGAACGATAATGAATCCTTTGGAGTGGACGAACTCGGCTCTTGAAGGAGCTGTATTTATATCGAGACGGGAGGCGTGGAGAAAGAAGGGTGCATTTTGCTCATCGATTAAGCGCTCTTTGAGAGATTAATAATGTAAAAGGGATGGAGGTGATTCTGTGTTTGTATTCTTTGGCTGGAAACGGATGGAGGTGGATAGTCACTCAGTGTTTTGGCGGCGTGTACGCGATGGAAGTTTAAAAGCATAGCAGCAGGAGGCAGTGTAAGCAGCATTGCAAAGCAAGACTGTGCTCACACACTAATGATAAAATGGGCAGTTCTCCATTGGTTTCCCTGAGCTGGAAGTGGAAATTGCACATTCCCATGGCGGGGTTCAGTCCAGCCATACAACAACCAGTGTTGACTTTCAGTCACGTGGTATTTATTTAATTTAACCGTGAAATCTACTTGTTACATCTAAACCTACGTTCTTATGTAACCTATATTCATTGGGTTTGACTCGGTGGAAAGCTGGAAAATGCAGGCAGACCTCGCTTAGCACGTGACCCTCAGAAAGCCGTCTTGTTCTAGCGTTCATTGTCCTGGAGAATATGTTTACAAAAAAATTAAGACAATCAAAATGATCTACAAAGCGCTTAGTAGTGAGACCACCACGCAACAGCGCTGGTCGAGGAAACGTCCCCCCCGCCCCCATCGTTCGCTCAGCCAATGAGAGCGGCGACTTGTGCCCCTCAGACAATCACCCACCCCCCGTGATACGATTATTACGATTCGTGGTGACGATTCCATGAAAAAAATCTATTTGTTTAGCCAAGCAGGAGAACTCGCAGGACCAAGATGGAGTCAGTCTCCCCCGAAAAGAAACCTCGCCAGAGAAATGTGGACTTGAGGGCTTTGCTAAGATCACGGAGATCCCGGAGCTCTTCTCTGAGAATGACCCAAATTGGGAGGGCAACAGCTCCCACAACCTCATCTTCCACCGCTGACACATAGGAAGAGTAGAGTAGAACGCATTCGAAGAGTACAGTTAGAATACATAATATTTATGTATGAAATAATGTTTACCATCGTTGTTGTGACTAGCGATATTCCTGATGACCTTTTGCCCGTCCAAGGACGGGGTGTATTGCAGTACATTTTTAAACTTGCAAGCGAAAAGCAGACCGTGACGTGATATTCACTGCATCCATTCGTGTGCAATTTGTAATCCCTTGTTCATCATGACGTCCTTTTTACCTCGATGTCTCAATAGTGTTACGGAGATCGCGTGATGTGAGGATTCTACGTTGTAGTGAGGGTTATAAATTGACGCTAAGGAGGGGGGAGGAGGCGCCTCGCCCCCCCCCCCATGTCGAGTGACGTCACCCGCTAATTATTCATGCAGCGGGGGTGTCCATTTGGAGGACGTCACCTGTTCATGATTATTAGGGGGGCTGTTCGATGTGGAGTGACGTCACCCGCTCAGGATTATTAATGAGGGGCGGGTCCATATGGAGGACGTAACCTGTTCATGATTATGAAAGAGGGGGGGCTGGTCGACGTGGAGTGACGTCACGCACATTACACACTGACATTCTTGGGTAAATATAGTAGTAAATACCCCAATGAAGTCCTCATTGCTTATGCGAAAGAAATAGGGTAGATCATCGGTTATCCGGCGGCTTCGGGGAGAAGGGGGCGCCGGATAAAAAAAAAATCAACGAATAATCACATTTAAAATGGCTTATTTTTGCATAACATATTTGTAGGTGTTGTGTATATTTTTTAGTATTTAAAGTTAGTTTGCTATATGAAATTGGCATAAATAAACTTACAAATACACAAATAAATATCCCAATGTAAAAAGTTACCGGATTTACTGTATACCGTACTTACCACTCTAATCTCGAAGACTCTGTATCATTGGCTGATATACGTAGGACTACAACTACGCTCTTGCTTCAACAACTTGTGTTTGACGTTTGCCGGACTGATGCGAATGCCGAATTACACGCACTTCAGGCTGGATGGCCTTGAATCGTTTTTATTACTGTCGTTATTACTCATGAAAATGTATGTACGTGTTTAAATTGAAAAATTATAATGTACTGTATATAATATTTGACATTGAAATCAAGCATAGCTGCTTTTTTTGTCACGCAAACGGTGCCGATCACCGGACTGGTTACAGCCTTTGGAGCAGCTTTGCCGGTTTCACCGGATCGGCCCGGGACCGCCGGATAATGTTGGAAGCGGTCAGATAATCGATGATAAACTGTAATGCTGTCGGGAATGCATCCCCATACATACAATGGTATAATTCACCCTTTTAGCACTGATTTGATGAACGCATCTTGAGTACTAAGCGAGGTCTGCTTGTGAGCCAAGTTAAACACAGTTTACGTTGACGTGACGAGATGCTTTTTTTGTTTCCCTGTCTCTGCTTGCTAGCTTCACCTTTTCCACATGAGGGTGGCAGCGCGAAATGCACGTTCAACGCTGGACCATCGCGACGAATTTAGCGATGATCGGTCCTTCTCTGCCGACAGATGTCGCTGCTGGTTTGCTGCCGCTCACCCCACGCCCCTGACCCCTCTCCGCCCCGCGTGCCCCTCTGTCGCTGTGCAGGAAAGTGTTCAAGTTGGATGAAATGTTGTCTCGGGTCGAAGATCAAATGAAGGGGGACCCCAGCGCTCCAAGGTGGGTGACGGTTGGCCCGTGCCCCTGTTGTGTATGGCTGCGCCGAGTGTCCCCGTGGCATGTAGGTGTGTGGAGCGAGCTGCCACGGGGCGCCTCGCGGCCCTGGTAAACGGCATGGCAGCAACCGTATCGGTTTCCTCAAGGGCACTGGGTGGGTGGGAGGGAGTGAGGGTCCTACTCTGGCACACACGCCTGGTGCCCATTGTCTGAAGCGAAGCTGCATAATTCAATATCGCGCCGATCACGCTTTTACACGTGATCCCGGGTTTGTTATCGTGAGCGTTGGGGGCCACGTTAACCTTGTTTTTGAGATCCACCTACCGTCGCCGCAGAGCGGCCAATTGCAGGTGAGCTGCCTTTGTGACGACTGTGCTGTTGTCGAGCGCAGCTCACTCTCCATTGGCTACGGTGCACTGGGGGGGTGGGGCTCTACTTGTGAAGTTGCGGTGGGTGTAAGTGGATGTTTTGTAATAGATACATTTACGGTGTTCTGAAGATATTGGGTTTTCTATAGAATAGGAAAGCAGTTGTTTCGTCCATTTATTTTAATTATTGTTATTATGACATCTATTAAACTGAGGTTTGTTACCTGTGTTTGTTTTTGTAGCACACAATCTGGACATTTGCAGCTAAACTTCACTGGATTTTTCCACACGAGTGGTAAGTTGGAGTATTTTTTTTAATAACTGGAAAATTATATGGCATTTCTTCCATCACAATTGATTTGCTATGAATTTTTCCACCGTCACACACTACACAGACAAATGCCTGTCCACGTGGCCCATCCGCCGAAGGCCTTAATTTTATCAAACACTTAGTGGGGGTGGTTTATAAGCCTGTCTTGGCATGTGCAGTGTATGCTGTGTACCACGTGAAATAAAATGTATGATGTTTCGTGTCATTAAGTTCACTAGTTGTCGTAGCGGCGAGGGCGAACAGAGAGAGTAAGCGTTGCACGTGCATCTCGCACATCCGATTAGCACGGTTGGCTACATATGGTGGGAAAGAAGTTCAACATACATACACAAACATACATACAACATACACACGTACAAACTGAAATCGAACGCTAGCAGCCCCCTCGACTCTGTCCGTGCAGTCGAGCGTCGAGGGAAGGAGGCTTTCTGCAAGAGTTGACTTTGGGCGCCGAGCATGCGCCTTATTGAGGCGGCGAGGGCTCTTGTGCGGCCGTATTGAGTGTTTGAGTGACGAGGGCCTTGCTTGCTGTTTGCAGGCACAGAAAAGACAACGCAAAACTCTGAGAACGAACAGAACTCGGCAATACTGGAGGTGCTCCTCGTCAAAGTGTGCCACAAGAAACGCAAGGTGTGGCCCCCCCCCCTCCGCCCATCGTTGCACGTCACCACGAGTCACCGCTCGTGAATCTCTCGTGGCCGTCGGCTCGCCGCGGCCGTGCACGCCTCCACTGCGTGCGTGCGTGTGTGCGTGCGCGTGTTCGCAGAGCGGAAAACTGAGATATCGTGTACCGAACTCGGGCCACCCTCTCACATCCCCGCCACCCCGCTACCCGTGGCTTAAAACCCTCAGCCAGTGCAAGTCACTGTCCCTACCACCAAACTAAGCTTTAACGAAATGAACTGTAATATATCCACCGTTTTTGGTACGGCACCTTGAGATGTGGTCGCGTTCGTACGCTTTATAAATCTAACATTGTTTCTGCTAACCATGACGCGGCTACAAGCGGTAAGCCCGAGCCTTGGGCCGAAAGTAAGGAAATTCGTACGGAAATCACGAGCATGAGGAGCTTCATAAATCGATTGCACGCATGTCCCTGTTCGTTTTTCACCAAGTGTTGTTTGCATGTTGAATAAGGAGCCATATTCAGGTGGAGTTTCCGTCGCTATTCACGTTTGGACGAGCTGCTCGCCCTAGCCTAAGCCCCGACAGCGGGTGCCACGCTGGGCTTCGCAAGCTCACCGCCGTCGCTCACGCAGCAGACCGGCCTGCTCCGAACCGGCTGCCACCTCGCCATCACTTTGTCTCTGAAGCAGCTTAACATGTGATATTTAAACCGTCACTGTTAGTCACGTTTTTTTTAGTTTTTAAACCGTTTAAAGCAAATGTGACTGCTACGTCGGCGTGTGAGCCGCCCCGGCTCGTGAGTGTTGGCAGAAAGCTGGCCACGCTCCAGTGAGTGCGGATTCGTCCACCGCGCTGTATATTATAGGTCCGACTTAGTTTGCCGAAACCACCGTGGCAATCTGCACATTTTCCCCCCCACTCTGCAGTTTACTTGTTAATTGTCCGTTGACCAAAACGGTCATTTGTTCGATATTTATTCCGGATGATCTTCTCGGACTTCGGGGTACAAGATAAAAAAAAAACTCTCGGTGAATTGTGATAATATTCTTGGTTCTTTCGGTAAGGTCACGTTTTCTATTTACGTGACTTTATCGAAAGAACCAAGAATATGAATTCCTGCAGTCACAAAAGTTTTAAGTCTGAATTGTGATTATTTTCAAACGTTGGCGGCACCGCCGCTGGGGACGGTAGCATTTCTCGCTCGGCAATGCGGTTGTCAACATGTTTGGCGTGCCAAATCGCACGGTTTTGGATGCAGGCGCAGCGCCGCGAGGTGAAGCGTCAGGGCGTTCAGAACGAGGTCCCAGGTCTGCTGCGTGGGCGACAGCGGTGAACACATGTGTGGTGTGTGTGCATGCATGTGAATCCCAGCGTGGCGCCAAGTGGGTAAGGGTTAAGGCAGGCGAGCAGCACTTTTTAATGTGAACAGTGTCGAATGCTAGTGTGGTTTGTGCCGTAAGCGAGCTTTTACTCACTATAATGCTGCTAAATATTCATGTTTCCCCTGGTTAGGCTCACTTTGAAGAGAGCACCTGCAGTGTGTTTTGCTTTGCTCTTGGTGCAAAGGTTTAAAAAAAATATCGGCACCTTGCAGGTTCCGCGTTAACCATTTGAGATTTGGTGAGCGTGGCTTTTTGGTGCTCCCGAGAAGGTGATGCTGCTGGGTGTTAGCGAATTGTCGACACTGGGGGGCCCCATCTGCGTGAACCCAGGCGCACGCAGTGTCGGACAACGAGAGACGTGTGGATCGGGCAACCCCGTGCGTGCACCGGTTGTGCCAGTGTTTTTTTTTTATACACAATCGGGAGGGATTTAAGTTTCCAAGCCTCGTGAAAAGCGCCATTGTCCCACGTTATGTGGCAGACGCAGCATGAAGAATTTGTCGATTGTCTCACCGCTCTCGCGAGCGCGGTGTTCGTCTCCACTGGTGGCCATGAGTCAGAGGTGGAAATTCTAATATTTCTATGGCGAAGATGAGTCTTGCCATGGGAAAACCACAGTAATATCCCTCAGTGGCGCTTGTTTTAGCAACTCGGTGAGGATGATTGGCTGTGTTTGTCTCGGAGCAACATATGAGCTGTCAGCCTTTTGATTGTGTTCGTGTTCAGTGCTTTTCACATTTACTTTGATTGCATTGATTTACAGATAACAGAATGAGTAAAACCTCAGTACTAAATGTTAAAGTTGTCACTATCTAACTTGACGTGAGTGCTTTTTTGTCTGAACCAATTAATTTTGTAACGATGCAGACGGCAGTTGGGTTGCGCGTGTGTGTGAGACGTCGGGAGTCGTGGTTCCGTGGCTTTGGATGTCTGCGGTGATCCCACCTCTCATTGAATTTGCTGCCACGTACAACGCCAATACCTCCCAAGGCCCAAACCTGGCCAACACCCCGTCCACCTACAGCCCTTTTGTCAGTTCACTGCTGAATAGGAGGGTGGGGAGTGTTGTGGCTCGGCCTCCTCTCTTCGTGTGGGTCGTAGGGTAGTTTGACCGTACTTCACGACGCCGGTCACTGCTCATTTGTGTTATTTAATTCAAGGAGAGCAATAGCTGATTACTACACAGTCACTCACACAAAGCCTACAAATCCTCATTTAGCTGTGTTACTTTAGGGGTTAAATTAACCTCACGTGTGTCTCAAGTGAGGCGTGTAATCTTGAATTACTTGAAAAGAAATACCAAACACGTGGTTATATTGCGCTGCCTCCAATACACTTTCAGTAACCTGTAATCGGGCACTGATTACTTTTCAAAATGAACCCTCCCAACCTGTGCACGTGAGCTCGTATGCGAGGAACACTGCTCCACACCCAGCGCGGGTGGCTGACGCTAGAGGGTGAAGCAGTGTTGACGGTTTTAGGTCGCTTGCCAGGTGCGAGATGAGATACGTGACCGGCTGAAGAAGTCGTGTACAGAACTAGAGGAGGGGGCCGTGTGGGGAGGGGGGTTTCTGAGCAGTGGAGGCGTTGTTGCTGTTGCTGGAATCGCCGCCTGGCATGGGGGACCGCGTTTGCCATCTTCACATGAGCGGGCGTGAAGGGAGAATTGGCAGAGCCGTCCCCCCCGCTTGTTTCGTAGCTACCTGTGAACCATGATCTCGCACGAAAGCTGCCACCCATGTGTGACGCCGCGCGTCCTGAACGGGCTCGCTCATTGTGGCGAGCGTGCAAGCTTTCTATCTCGTGGCGTCAGGTCTTCTGATTTTACGTTTTAGCCTTGCGCGTAAAACGCCCGTTTGGCAGGCATTTCCATCGGCGGTACGTCATTGCGGCGCTGACGTTTCGATTCTCCGTGTGTTTTTGGTTGCGTTTTCTCGCCGCGTCGTAGCTGTTAGCGGGGCGACTGAAGCGGCCTGCGCCCCACGCTGAGCCGCGAGGCGGAGGCACCAGCGGAGCGCTGGCATTGACGCTGGTGCTCAGGCCGACAAGCCACGCTTGTTGCAGCGATCGTTAAGCAGCAGATTTCGCATATCTTTTTTCACGGATGTCCAGTTAGGGGCGGGTCAGAAAGTTACAACTGTTGTGACAGAGTTACAACGGCAGCTGTGATTGTACCGCATGTGTGCGTGAAACACCTAGAAAGCTCACATTTGCGGTTAAGAGCACTTCTTCAGAGAGGGGGAGTTGCAGGATGTTTGCTGTTTCTCTCTGGCAATATGCTATCAACCGTTGTGTTTTTGGTCCTACACCACTGCCACTAAGTTTTATTTCTGGCTGTGATCGCTGCTTGGAATATAACGGGGATTTAAAAGTATATATTTTTGTAAGTGTTTGTTCAGAGAGTGAGTGTATTACACAAGCAAGGGACAAGCCCAAGAGCCTAGCACAAAGCAGCGTTGTGGTTAAACATGTGTTCACAATTTCCTGACGGCGCAGGTGCGCGCATGGCCGTTACTTTATCCGTCTTGTGTTTGCCTTTTTGTTGGGGTTCAATTTCTCGTCGAATATTTTTCTGGGTCACTGATAGACCGGAGTGGGTGGCACGTGATTTTGTAGTAGCAACAGCCCAGAGCGAGAGATAAAATACTCGATGTGGACAGGCCAGGCTGAAATTGAAACCCTGCCCCTTTTACGACTGTTGCGGTGGCAGTGTGTAGCAAAGCGAGTTGAGACGATTTCCCGGACGGGGATTTGACCTGCGGGGGGGGGGGGTGGGGGGGGGCGACCCCTGTGTTTATTTTTCACCGCGGGCTGAAATTTGGCGGTGAAGTTTTACTCGCTCACCCATTTCATCGCTGCCGGGTCGCCGCTAAATGAGATAATGAAACGACTCTTTTACATCCTACTCTTTGGTTTTTTCGGTAAAGTCACGTATAAATAAGAAATAATAAAATAACATAATAGCGTACGACGTTTCGGTTGCAACACAAGCAGCCATCATCAGGTACAGAAGAGCTAAATTTACGAGAGAGAGGAAACGCATAAGCCCAGATGTATATACATCTGGGGTTATATACATCTGTATATACATCTGGGGTTATGTGTTTTCCTCTCTCTCGTAAATTGAGCTCTTCTGTACCTGATGATGGCTGCTTGTGTTGCAACCGAAACGTCGTACGCTATTATGTTATTTTATTATTTCTTATTTATACGTGACTTTACCGCAAAAAAACAAAGAGTAATTCCTGCAGTCACGAAAGCTTCGAATCAAGTCTTTTACATCCTGTAAGGTCACTTTTTTTAATGCATGCAAATCGGTGAGCCTCGTCGTAATTGCTTACGGGTTTGCTGTGCTCGTTTATTTGGAATGCCATACTTTGTCAATCTTTTAATTGTCATTGTAACTCAAGACGCTGTGAAAAATAAGGGCGGGTACATGAGATAAGGGACAGGAGACAGAGTTTTGTACATGGGTGAGTGACTATAGGAGCTATTTCCCGCACCTCCGATGATCACGGTTGGCCACGTGCAGTGCGAAAGAAGGTGCAATTAGAATATAATATGGGTTAGGTTCAGGGTAGGGAGGAAAATGTTTCATACGGGGAAAAGAAAAGGAAGATTGGGAAGGAGTGGGCAATACCAATGATTAGGCATACCTGTCAACCCATACGTTTTACCCGTATTCTTGTACAGGGAAATAGTTTTTTCAGGTCCATACGGCGTACGTACAGCCGTTTAAATACGGGCAAAATAAATTGTCTTTGTTTCCCCCTTGTGATGGGGCTTTATAGGATGAACGTTGAGATTTATAAGGGCATGGGGGCGACCAATAAGGTCTGAATTGGTCTAAGGTAGGGCACGGATAAGGGATTGACAGGTATGAGTAGGGGAGGAGTTCCCGCTGATGGGGGCAGGAGAGGAGGAGCGCATCCTCTCTTTGAGGCGAGGTTGATTTGGAGGTGTCGAACAGAGACCTTAGTTGCTGGTATATATGAAACGATGCATTAATTTGCCGAATAACAGATTCATTCGTATTGCGTGAGAAGCAATTGAGATTTGTATGTTTTGTGTTCGATTGTCACGTGTCCGCTGCTGCCACCAGAGGCATTACATTCACCACAGTGTAAAAAGCACAAAATTATTTATTTAATCACATCACGACCATGAATCGTGACGAACGAATTGCAAAGCTTGGCGATTTGTGGCGCAACTAAGCGCCTGGTGAAATCAATAATTGCAACATGCTTGTGCACCCGCGTGCGTGCGTTTCTGTGCTCTTCTTGGCGCAGGATGTGAGCTGCCCTATCAAGCAAGTGCCTCTGGGTAAAAAGCAGGTGCCTTTGAACCCACCGGTGGTGGGCGGATCCAGCAAGGCAGGGGCGGGGGCGGGCTGCCCCTCCCTCTCCATCCCCCATGGGGAGTTCCAGCCAGGGAATCCGCATCTCGTCAAGTCCTACTCGCTGCTGTTTCGCATCTACCGGCCGCTCGGGCGCGAGGGTCAGGGGGCTGCCGGCCTGGCCCGCGATGCCGACGAGAATCTGGGTGCGTCCGAGGCTATTTATTTTAATTAAAATGTTTAACTCTTTTCTTCCTCCCCCCCGCCCCAGTTATATCCCCATTGTGCTATCCGCGTCACATCATGAGACCAAGGATCCATTCCCAACTCTTGCAGAGCGGTGCGATTGTTCGTCTGGGTGTCATGCGGATTTCGTGGGGAGCGGTAATGTAGTGGTTATCGCACTGAGGGGACTAATGTTAGCTCGTGGCTGTAATCAGTGATGAATATCTGAACTGGTCCTGGGCCTCCCCTAGGTGGCATACATCAGCACTGGGAAGATAAAGGTGGCTGAGTGTGGTGCTGACCAGCCACCACCTCGTGTGCGGTACCAGACTCCATCTGTGCTTGCTAACAGCATTTTCCCACAATCTGTTAAAGGCTATACGGGAGATCTTAGTCTTTGACCATATTTCACCGCGCTTGTCGGTGTGGGCTAGTGCAAGCATTGCTCAGAGATGTGGGAGCATCGATCATCATCAGCCATGATCCATCCACTGCTGGATGACAGCCTTTCCTCGCCCCCGCCACCTCTCAAGAATATGTGATGCAACAATCCATCCATAGTACCAATGTACAATGATGGACTTTGCTGCACTGTCCACTGCTGTGTAGCACCATGCAAGGCCTGGCTGCACGCGTTTCATATCATGGATCACACCCATATTCCTCAGTCCCAATGCGAGCGCGTGTATTCACGTAACACTTCGGTCGGCGTGGCAGTGTCCAAGTGTGACTGTATGTGAATAACGGATCTCGCCATACACTAGGTTTACCATGTGATGGGCCGTATGGTGCGTCGCACCATCGCGGTGTGACCGCTTGGCTGTGTGGGCGGCCATGTGCTGCACCCACTGCTCTGCTTCCCGTGAGTCCGCTCGCTCACCGCTTGCAGGAATGGTGTGTCACGACACCCCCCCGCCCGGGAGCTTACGCGCAGGAAACTAACATCCCCCCGTTGCCGCGTCCCCCCCACCACCCACTTCCGCAGACGTCACGGACGACATTCCCAGCAAGCGGAGGCGCAGCTCGTGCCACCGGGAGGACACGGAGAAGGTGTACACCTCGGAGCTCACGGTGTTCGATAAAAACAGGTCACTGTCCTCGGACAACGCGCCACAACACTTCTGTAGCGACGAAAGGATGAGAATAGTTGCGTACAAATTGGCGCCCGCTCGCGCCTTTCTTATGGCGCAGGGCTCTTGTGAAGGAAGGCGCTGTGTTTCACACATGGACATAGTCTGGCAGCAGAGAACGATGTTGCCATGTCTTAATGCCAATTGAGTAATTTGTGGATGATCTTGGACCATGACGCCCAGCACAAAAGGTCTATTCGTTTCGAATGACGTCAACGGGATATTTTAACATCCTCCGTGAAGCAGATGGCGCATGTTTGCGTGGTTAATTCAGCCGCAATAATAACCAGGGCGGCCGCCAAGTTACCCGCGAATGTCGGCAACCGGCGGTGCACGCTGGGCCACGTCACCGCTCCAAAAACGAAATGTGGGCCACTTTTAGCAATGAGACTTGCCGCGGGTGTAGACATTTCCATTATGTTAATTTTTTGTCGCAAGACTAGGCTGCATAGTAGATCACAGTACAGCTAGTAGGTTCCTGGAACATATATACAGGTAGTGCCAGACTTACGAATGCCCGACTTATGAACCAGCTTCCATGAAATATAAAATAATTAACTATATATTCTTAGCTCTTTCGGTCGTCACCTGATGACGACTGTTTGTGTTATGGTCGAAATGTCGTGAGAATGTTTATTGTTTTATATATATTTTATTATTTTATGGTTTCCCTTCAACGTGACTTTACCGAAAGAGTTAATAATATGAATTACTGCAGTCACGAAAGCTTTAAATAAAAAAATATAATTAACATTGACGTAAAAAGCAAACTCGCACTTGAAAACTAAACCGCGGAATTATTTTGTTCGGAGGAGCGATCCTCCGTGAGAAGTAACGAATTTATCAATGCTTCCCTTTTTGTTGAACCGTCGGACATTTCACGGCACTGACCGTATGGGGATTTAAATCCAGTGCGTTGTGTTACGACTTACGAACGGGTCTCAGGAGCGAATTTGGTTCGTATGCAAAGAACTGCCCGTAGACATTTCCAAGCGTGCTTCTCTCATGCGTGGGTAGGTTTTTTTTCCTGTTCCTGCGTTCTCGTGCACGCGCGGCTATACTCGGTGTGGGGATGCGGCCTTCCTGGAGAAGAGCGTTCAAACTTGCATGAGGCTTAGGGGAGAGTTAAGTGGAAGTGTCTTCCTGTTCAAACGAGCACGGAGCGGTGCTCGTTTCCACTGGGGTGGCCCTGAGCCGGTGGGCGAAACAGAATCATTACAATGTTTCACGGTTCTGCCGTGCAGCTCTGCGATGTGTTTTTGGGTTGAACGTCATTGTTGTCCGGCTTGATGTCTTGACATTTTGTTGCAAGCACGTGGAACGAAATGTCGGACAATAAGTGCATGTTGTAACTGGAAAGCACGTCGGAAAGGATGCATAATTACTTCCCTTCAAAGTCGCACGTTTCTGAGCTCGGAGGAGCCGGCCTTTGAACCATCAGTGGAAATTCCGCATGTTCACGGTGGGGGTGAATGTTGGCGAAATGCTAACTACTTTGCCTGGTGTACAGGAGGTCGTGGGTTCGATTCCGACCCTGACGTCTGCTCTATATTTGGAGATTGCATGTACTCCACGTGGTCGCGTGCATTTTTCTCCGGGTTCTCTCCAGGTTTTCCTTCCACATTTATAAACAACACGCGTTTAGAGTATTTGGCTGCTGTCAATTTCCACGTGATAAGCTACGTCGTTGAGCTATCATTTGTGGCCAGGTCGCTTCTGAAAAAGAGCTTTATAGCTCAGTAGGCATTGCCTGGTAAGAAAATAAATGAATAGTGTTATAATCACCGTACCTCCAATTGGCACGATTGGTTATGTACGGTGTGACAGAAGTTCAACATACATACATATGTACCGTGCTTGTGAGTGACATGTGTGTGTGGGGAGCAATAGTGGAGTGTAGCAGTTAACATGCTGCACTACAAACCTGGCGACCCAAGTTTGATTCCCGCTCACGGCCAATACCAGTGACGATTATCTGAACGGGTTGTGGACCTCTCCTAGATCGACTCTGCCTCAAATGAGTACCTCGTGCGGTGTGTAAACATCGCCACTAGTGAGAAAATGGCACCCAGGCGTGGCATTGGCCACCCCACCCCCTCGTGTGCCGTACCGGCCTTCATAGGTGCTCGCTAACAGCACTTGCCCCAACAGTCTGTTACAGGCTATACGGGGCATCTTTGTCTTTGTGCGTGGACTCACCGGCGTCACGTGTGTGTGCGCGCCCGCGAGCAGACGGTGCCAGCTGCTGGACGGCGAGTACGAGGTGGCCATGCAGGAGCTGGAGGACTGCCACATCAGCAAAAAGAGGGCGACGTGGGAGACCTTCCTGGAGGGCAAGGTGGGGCCATGGCGGGATGCAGTGTCGGTCACCTACTACCCGGCCCCCGCTTTATTAGGTCTGACACATTTTATCGGCACCATCCTGCGGTGTCCGATGGCTCAAGTAAAGTTCAGTCCCAGCCAACGCTTGGCCCTCCCCCGCCCCCACTGCCATATTTCGTTTCCGTCCTCGCGCGTCTTGTGAAACCCGTTTTTTGTTTGCTTCGTCGGCACTTGCGGGAAACTGTGGCGGTCACTGTCAGGGACGCTGCGTCTCACGACGCTGCGATCGCAGCTGTGGTCGGGCCTTGCCGTCACGGCACGCGCGTCTCGCATCTCGCCTCTGTAAGCCGAATCGCTGCGGGCCCACCGAGGTGTTCGGTTCACTTTTCATCACGGTAATTGCACGCAGTCATAGAAATTGGGCGTTGCACAACAAACCCTTCGCGCTCCTATTACTAATATTAGCCACGACTTTGAACACCTTTTGAACTTCGAATTGTGGGCGGGAAATGTTCGATACGTCAACAAGATTTCCCCCCATTTGTTCCGTAAAGTTGCGTTATTGTAGCAGCGCGCGCAGCGAGGATGGCATGCGGCCACAAAGTTTTTACGCCGACGAATCGTGGGCCCGGTGGCGTGAAGGCGCCAGTTCCCAATCCGTGGTGTGCGGAGCATGCCTCGGGGGTGGGGGGGGGGGGGGGGGTGCGTGAGGCATCTCTCCATCGTGATTCACGTCGCGTCAGTGGGCACACGGGGATTCCGGTCACGTGGGTGGGGGAGGGGTCACTCAAGCGGCACTTTGGTAAGTTGTGCATATTTAGTTAGCGTTACTACGTTATGAAGCGTTAACTAAACGTTGAGGGCGTTGATTACTTGTGCATGCTATTGAAATGTCACGAATGTAATTATTCACATGGTATGACGTTAAGGGGTACGCGGACAGTGGCTCGGGCCGGTGATGGGACACACGACGAGCAGAAGGTTGGGGATCCACCGTTTGAAGGTTGGGGATCCACCGTTTGACCTTCGCACACCACGATCTCCAGGTGGGCAAGGTGCCTTGGCAACAAGGCAGCCGTTGGTGCCGGACTTCCACGGCTGCCCCGCCTTGCACTGATCGCTGGGTCACGTTGTCTCCCCACCCCCCGTAGCCACTCGCACGCCCGTCGCGTTTGCTCGCTTCGTTTCGCCACCGCGCGTGTTCTTATCTACGTGCGTTCCGCGTGCGTCTACGCGTATACGGTTGGGACCTATGCGGGGGGGGGGAGGCAGGGGGTAAATTGTGGCGTTGACTCTCCGGAAGGGGGGTGGGGGGGTGGTTGGCAGAGGGGGTGGTTGGCAGCGAGGGTGGAGAGCGGAAAGTCGTGATCGAACTTTTCCCACAACGCGCCGTGAACCCACGTCGGTGTGGCCCAAGCTGCAAATGGCCAAGTGAAATTTCTACGCGGACTTCCGCCCCTGACCGTTACGGCGCCGCGGAGGGCGCTCGTATCATGCAAGCGTGACGCTTGCGCCCGAAGCTACACCCACAAGACGGTGTCCGGCTAACGACAAAAATCAAAGCAGGGGGGCAATATGGAAACAAAAAGGATCTGCGTCCCGCGATCAGAACTGCCGCGTGGAACGTTCCGGCGCTCGCAAAACCCGGCTACCCAAAAGCCGTCGTGCGAGAAAGAGTCAAAACTGTGCACACACTTGTTTTTTCAAACAGGGCTTTCGACAGTGAGTGCCTCTGTTGGGCATTGGAGTGCTTCGATCGCGTATCTGACGAGATCGGAATGAGGCTGCGTGTTTTCCTCTCTCGTTTTCTTTGTCCAGCTGAAGTGTCCAGAGGCTTCATCTCGACTTTCCTCTGTTTAGCACCAGGCAGACAGTACACTTTTGCTTCTCATAAGGAACCGTTGAATCAACTGTAACACATGCAGAGCTCAACTGGTTCGCTGATTGTAGGATCGGTAAAATGAAACGGAATGCAGGCAGCTTTTAGTGAAGGAACCAAAAGCCCTCTTGACATAACTGCTTGTGCACAGCCTTGCGGTAAACTGGTGAACGCCGCTAAAGAGACACCGTAACCCGGGAGGTCTCGGCGCTGCTAGGGGCTAAATGGCTCTGAATGCATGAGAATTAACGACCGTGCTGGCGAGTTACTTATCGTGAACGACTTGGTGCGTTGTTCTTTTACATTGGAAACATTAATCCTCTCTGTCACTTTATGTATGAAAATGTGAAGTAACGAGATTGTTGAACTTCGAGAAAGTAAGTAGGAATCAATACCTCACTTTGACATTTTTTCTTCTCTGTGGTTTGTGACGCGAGAGCTACAAAGGAATTTACGCTTTTCCAGAGTGTATTGAAAATGGTCTCGTCTTCGGAAGGTAACACCTCCGCGCGGCCCCCCCACCCGGTCTGTGCGCGCCGCAGAAGCTGCCACCGCTCGAGACGTTCACTCAGGGCCCCACGCTGCAGTTCACGCTGCGCTGGACCGGGGGTGCCATGGACAAGGCGTTCACTCCCAGCGCCAAGCCGCTCACGCCGCGCAACATCGTGGACCCCTCCGCGTCCGCCGATGGCCGCAACGCCGCCACACAGAAGCCGGCCGCCCCCACCGGAACCTCAGGTGCGGGACGGACGCCGTTCCCCTGGCACTGCTGCGCGCACTCCCTCGCGCTCCCTCGCGCTCCCTTGCGCTCCCTCGCGCTCCCTCGCGCTCCCTCGCGCTCCCTCGCGCTCCCTGGCGCTCCTCGACACCTGAACCCTGACCCCGTTTTGTTTGTCACTGAAACGTGTGGCGTGCAGCGGTTCACCGAGTCGGTTGTTTAAATCCATTTGTACGTTCGCGATGCGTGAGAGGTTCGAGCGTTTTCCGTCGCAGGTGATCCGTCGGCCAGTGACTTGTGAGCAGGCTGGAAGAGAAATGATAAAGCACGTAATAAGGTTAAAAATCCCCGTGACGTCATTCACAAAGTGGGCCCATCGTGTGCCGGCATCGTGGTCCAAATTTTCGCCAATTTGAAAATTACACCGCAAATTGCTTGGTTGGAATGTGCATGGCAGTCATCATCCCCCGCGTGCATTCACTTGGCAGGACCCTCCTGAGAAAGAGTTCTGAGACTTGGTGGCCTTTTCCTGCGTAAATGAGCGTCATCATTTTCAACGCGTTTTGGATGAGGATTTTTTGAACCAGCGGCGCTTCCCAAACCCAATGGCAGCATTGCGAAAGTATTCTGAAATAGATTTGCATATTGCCACCAATGTGAAACTAAAGACAATTTAGGAATATTCATTCAGCGAAGAACTGATTGTGATGCGAGACAATAATGGTCGTTTGCAGCGTCCAATTGGGCATCATCAGTGTATGAATGGAGGTTAATGTTGAAGGCGGAAATTATTTTTACAAGTGGGAGGAGATGGAAGTGGACCCTTTCATGGTGGAGATGATGTCCATTGTGCATTTTTTACCGATTAGCTGGGGGGAGGTATGTCAGGTGTGTAGGTTTTGGGCAGGAGGCTTGAGGCCAGGATATTAACTCGTATTTCCTCAACCTTTTCAGAGACGGCACAGGTGGCGAGGTGCTCGCACCGAGCAGCAGGCAGGAGTAATGTAACAATGCCTAAGGGAGCGTTCGCGGTGTTAAAGAGGGGGGGGGTGCTGGGCTGGGCCGACACGGTGATTATGGTTGCAGAAGAGGAGGCTGGTTTAATAATAAAAACTAGAAACTTTTTATTTTACCGGGTAAGGCCCATTGAGCTCTGTAGCTCTTTTTCAGAAGCGACCTGGCCACATAATGACAGCTCAACGAAGTGGCTTATCATGTGAAAATGTATAGCAGCCAAATACTCTTAAACGCACATTGATTCTAAATGTGGAGGGAAAAACCAGATGACCCGGAGAAAAGTCTACGCAATCAGGAGAACTTGCAGACTCCAAATATACGGGCGATCGGGATCAAACCCACATCCTCCTTCATACCAACCGAGGTCGTAAACATCTCACCCCAGCCCTGCCAGCACCGTCTGCCTCACCTCACACCAACTGCATCCCTTCCCCAACACGTGGCTAGCTGCCTCTTTCGTATCATCATTTTTCTTTCTATCGTCGGCTTTTTTGTGCAGGAGTGAAGGACCAGCTGTCGTCCAGTGTCCAGGTGAAGAAGGAGCCGGGGCAAATGGAACCTCAGAAGAAGCTCAGAATATACTACCAGGTGCGCCTCGCACGGTCGCTGTCTCACCCCCCTTTGAATGCGGCGTCGTTCCGTCACCGTCCTTCACCCGTCGTCGGCTGCTAATGCGGTCAGCGGTGCCACGGGCTGTTGGTGACCGCCAATGTGCCATTCCCCTCCCGCTCAGTGCTTCGAGTGGCGCTCGAAGGACCTGTTTTGGAATACCCCGGCAATGAAATCACAGTGCTGCATGCGTTGCCTCGTGGGAACGTCTGTAACGTAATGTCGGCCGTTGAGAGGAGGAGGCTTGGGAAAGGCTCGGCGAAGGAAAGTTTGACGGTTTGGCGAGCGAGAATAATGACAGAGTAGTAGCCACAGGAGTGAACTTTCCCGCGAGGGGGGTGTCTGCCACAGAGATGAAATGGTGAAATCAAGTTCTGTGTAGGAGCTAAATGGAGTGTTTCCTCAAAAGACCTTTGAGAAAACGTAATCTCTGGGGGAGGCCTTCATAAAGCAGTGGATAGATCATGGATGACGATGATGATGGACATGTAGGCTGCTTTTATAGTGGAACGTAGGTGATATAAAATAAATACCACTCTGTGGGACTGGTCCTGAGTTCACTGGCCACTGATGTTAGCCATGACAAGAAATCAATCTTGGGTCGCTGGGTTGATCAGGGGGTCCGTGAACCACTGTGCCACTGCTCCCTGTTCTACTACTATTTTTATTTTACCAGGTCAGGCCCACTGAGCTATGTAGCTCTTTTTCAAAAGCGACCTGGCCACAAATGATCGCTCAACGAAGTGGCTCATCACGTGGAAAATTATAGCAGCTAAATACTCTGACAATGCACATTGATTCTAAATGTGGAGGGAAAAACCAGAGGACCCAAAGAAAAATCCACGCAAGCACAGGGAGTACATGCAAACTTCTAAAATATAGACGTCAGAGTTTCTAAATGTGGAGGGGAAAACCGGAGGACCCTTAGAAAAATCCACGCAACCAAGGGGAGAGAGACACGCAAAGTCCAAATATACAGCAGGCATCAGGGTCGGGATGGAACCCACGACCTGTATACCAGGCGAGGTAGTTAACATCTCGCCATGTTGCGATACCGGCAACACAATGCTCAGGATCCCGATTTCGGTGGAACGTGATGTTTGTCACCACGATGCTTCTCCTTTTGTTTCCTCTGCTAACCGACCCCTCCCCCACACCCCTCTTGGACCGTCGCAGTTTTTGTACAACAACAACCTGCGGCAGCAGACGGAGGCGCGCGACGACGTCCACTGCCCCTGGTGCACGCTCAACTGTGGCAAGCTCTACAGCCTGCTCAAGCACCTCAAGCTGTGCCACGGCCGATTCATCTTCAACTATGTGGTGACCACAGGGCCTAGCACTGGCGGCTGTGCTGCTATCATTGTTTCCCCCACCCCCTCTTGATTTTATCCTCCTGTTCACAAGCGGCAGCTTCGTCGCGCGTGCGGGCCGACGGGTTAACGGCGGTGACAGTGTCGTAATGGTGGTTCGATCCTGCCGGGTGGCGGTCATCGAAGCTCGCGAGTTTGTAGAATATTTCGCCAGGCCGGACTTGGACGTCGGCCCGGACCGCGCGAGGCTGCCGCACGGACACGACTAATCTGAGCGGACTCTTCCGTTAACGGCGCGCGTTTGCGCGTGTCGTCGTTAGCTTTAGAATCAACGTGCGTTTAAGAGTATTTGGCTTCTAGAAATATCCTCATAAGGCACTTCGTTGGGCAATCATTTCTGGCCACGTTGCTTCTAAGAAAGAGCTCTATAGCTCAGTGGGCCTTACCTGGTAAAATAAAACATAGTTTAGTTTTGGTGCAGCGTGAACGCGTTACAACCCCCCACCGACATCTCCTCCCTTATCCCCAAACCACTCCACATTCTCCTCCCCTGCCCTCTGCAGCCTGTCTGACCTGTTTGTAAATATCCGTAATTGAGTAATTTATTTCGAGTGGCTCGTCCAGTTCGTGTTGTTTATTGGGACTCTGTTGTTTTATAAGTATACTTATGCATGTGTAAACGTATGTATATTTCTTAGAATGCTTTTGTGACCATAGATGTATATTATAACAATGGATTTTGCTGCACTGTGCCCACTGCTACACAACACTTAGCCCTGCGGCCTATAACCACTTGTTATGCGTGGTGGTTGCCCATCCAAGCCCTATTCAGGCTTAACACTTGCTTAGCTTCGGGATTTGACGATGTTGGATGCATCATGGATGAATTCTACTGGGTATATTTTCATTTTGTGAGTTGGCATTTGATTGCAAGACCAGCAATGCTTTTCTGGGTATACGAATAACTCATGACTAAGATGATAATTGTTGTTGCTAGGAACATGGGCATGAGGTGATGTGCTCAGGGCTATCGGATTGCAGTTGAAAGGTGACAAGTAAAATTCTCGATACAATTAGTACCACTTTGAAGAACATCGCCAGGCATAATAATTTGTATTTATAGAGTACCTTTTCTTGCCATCAGGTTACGAGGCCACTTCGCACAAGTTAAGATAAAACAAATATTTAGAAAGACAAACTTTATAAAAAGACGTGAAAAATTATTAACAAAACAGTAAATATTTACAATTTAACAATTTCCACTTATGTAAATTTACCTTAAGCCTTGATAAAAAAGTAACCTGTGACGCCATCGGGCAGAGAGTTCCACAGTCGCGGAGCCTGAACACAGGGTCACCCTTCCTTCCCTCCTGAGCCTTACCCTCAGAATGCAGAGCAGTCGCAATCGTCTGGCTTTGGAATATGGAATTTCCACCACTGCACCAGGGCTGCCAGTGGAGATGGGTGATGAGCAATCCTCGTTTAAACAAGCGGGCAACTGCAGTGTTTTTAACGTGTACAGTAGAACCCCTCTTAATGACGGTAATTGGTTCCACGAAATCGGACGTTACGAGATTCGGTCGTTAAGCGAGTATAGGAAATACACGTTTAAAGGCTTAATTCGTTCCATTAGCATCGAAAGTAACAACTTTTTCATCCAAAAATCGTACTTTATAACGTTTAAGCAATGGATATTAATACATAAAGATACTAACAACATTACAGACAATATTTAAAGAAACACGGTTAATCAATGCATTAATTTATAGTTACTTTACCTACAATAGCCCGTTGTTAACAGGGGTTTGGTCGGTAAGCGAACACATTGGGCTCTGTGGAGGCCTGTCGTTAAGCGATTAGTCGTTAACAGGGGTGGTCATTAAGAGGGAGTCTACTGTAATTGAGGAGCATGCGAGTGGGCGCGTGTCCGTGCTCGTAGCTGAATGTGTGTGCGCGTGCGCTTACTCTGTCCTCTTTTCACTTCTCCCCCATCTCTCTCCCGTCCCCCTCCCCCAGGAGATTTTTTTCTGAGCGTGGTTGGATGGCACTGCTGGTTATTGTTATGGAAATGTGTGTATTCGGTGTTGCCTACGCCACTAGACCATGGGCACGCTTGGCGCTGGGCTGGCACAGTTGGGCACCAGGACATTGGAAGGACTTCATGGTTCCTCTCTTAATATTTTACTTTTTGTTATTTACGCTCGTCCACCCAGCGAGTCCTCGAGGCTCTTGTTCAGGAGGGTCGTCCTGCCAAGTCGTGGGTAATCCCCAATCGATTAATTTACAGTGTTCGGCATTGGTATGCTTGGCCAATCATTACCAGTTATATTGTATGTTTTTTTTAGCTATGGGAGGAAACTGGAGAACTGGGAGGAAACCCATGCAGAACAGGGAGAGAACATACATACTCCACACAGCAAGGCGCCCGAGTTGGAAATCGAACCCAGGTCCTTCTTGCTGTGAGGCACAAGGGTTACTACGGCACCACCTTGCCGCCCCTTTCTTCCTGTACACTGGAAGGTAGTGTAGAGTGTATCGTATGTGTATGTATTGTGTGTAATATGTATGTATATCATTCTGCGTAAACTTATGTACATACATACTGCATATAAATATATATATGGATATGCTACGAGAATTTCGGCTGATTTTACAAACCGTTTTGCTCCACGTATGCGAGCTGGTCCCGCGAGTGATTCCGTTAAGTGGCCGGTGACAGGCGGCTAATCGATCGAGATGAGTGTTTACAATCTGTGTGCCCAGGTAACTTTTAGGACCCTTAAATGACGCCGAATGAACAGGGCTAAACAACGTGGGGGGGATGGTCAAAGAGGTTGCGTGCTCGTGTGGCCACGTCAGCTCGCAACGGCTGCTTTGGTTTTGACGCTAGCAGCGCGCTGCGTCGAGGCAGCGACGGGCGCATTCGTGACCATAGAATCGGTCCTCCTTTGACGCCTGTGGTCACAATCGTTCTCTGCGCTCTCTGGAAATCGCCTCTCGAGCGCTTTTTATCACACTCGTTTATCGATTGATTTCAGCCTCCCACGCACTTTTCTGTCCGACGAGGAGTTCCCATTATGTTCGCAAAAGCGTTTTGAACTCTTCGCTGTCCGTGAGCCCAGAGCAGATATTTCACTTGTCGGTACCACCCGAGGTGGTAATTCAATCGTATTGGTCGTAGGACTAAATCGGTGCTGCTAACGGTTTGCAACCCGAAGTGGTGCCAATGTCTGCTCTGGTCCGTGGCCCACGGGGCAATAACGCAGCGTTCATCGCACAGCAAGGAGCGGTGGGGGTGCAGAAAGGTCCGGTGCTCGGCATCTGACATGGCGCTGGTTTGGCACTCGCGCTGGGGTCCACGGGAGGACCGCCCTTGGCATCGTCGTCGTCGTCGTCGTCGCCGTTGTTGTTATTTGTCCCCTTGAGGGTTTTAACTCGGCCTGCGTCTCCCGTCCACAGCCTCTCACCAAAGGTGCTCGCATCGACGTGTCCGTCAACGAGTGCTACGACGGCTCGTACGCCGGCAATCCACAGGACATCCACTCCCAGCCGGGGTTTGCCTTCAGCAGAAATGGGCCCGTCAAGAGAACGCCCGTCACCTACATCCTTGTGTGCCGGTGAGGAGGAGCGCCACCACTGAACTGCGTGATAACCTCGTCGGCCATGATTAATCCACTGCCGGATGCGGCCCTCCCCAACAATCTACTCAGCACCCACACACGTACTGGTTATCAATGCTCCCATCTCCCTTCGATGAAACTCATCGGACTCCTCTCATGAAGTCATTGTGTTCGGTCTCAGATTTTGTCCGGTCCATTTGCCTCGAGGTAATGGCGATCGTATGATTTGCGAGGTAACTTTCACAAGCATTAAATAACCAATTATTACAAATCGCCATTCAATGCATGTATCGCGATGGTAACGGAAACTGAAAAGAATAGAACCAGGATGCACGGGATCCATGCGACCGGAATCATTGTATAGGACTAACGAGGGCCCTCGTGATCTAAGGCAAGCGTAGAAGCGCGGAGGCAAGGCAACGGACTATTGCAATGGTGGGGTGGACGTGTGGTCCCGGCTACGCCTCCCCGTCACCCTGTTGCCGTGTGCCCTGTGTGTATCCGCTCGCGCCGCCCGGCCGGCCGTCCTTCCCTAGGCCGAAGCGGCCGAAGCCCAGCCTGTCAGAGTTCCTCGAGTCGGACGAGCTGGAGGTGGAGCAGCAGCGTCCTTACGTGAGCGGCCACGACCGTCTCTACTTCCACAGCGACACCTGCCTCCCGCTGAGGCCGCAGGAAATGGACGAGGACAGCGAGGACGAGAATGACCCCGAGTGGCTCCGCGAGAAAACCGTGCTGGTCAGAGGGCGCCCACTCCCCCCACCCCACCCATTGCCCGCCTGACACTCGCCTCACTTGGTTCACTAGGAGAAGAGTTTTGTCTTCCTCGTGATCGGGGCTGTGGGGACGGAGCTGTGGTTGCAGTGCGTGATTTATAGTCGGGCATGGTTGTGATTTTTTAAAATTCCTGTTTGGATGTGACAAAACCCACCGTCGTTTCTCCCACGTCGGTATAATTAGTCCAGAGGTCACTTGAAGTTGTCTCGAGTAGCTCTGTGATCCCCACTTCTGTGGGCCGGCCTCCAACACAGATGGTTGAAATTCCTTGCGAGAGGTCCATTTGGATTCTTAGTCTTGTGACACGGGACCAAATCGTGCAATATAAATTTTAACTGGGGGAAAAGGAACAACTGATTCAGCACTCTGCGGTGAGTCGATAGCGGTTAAAGAGTCATCGTTCCCCCATGGGAACATCACTTATCAGCCACTGGCTAGAGGCCCGCTGACAGGGATCCGCTCCGCCGCACGTAATCGTTCGCGCAGGGAAATGCGACGACCTTAAACTTAGGTTAGGGTCACATGGGCTTGGGACGATGTTCGTCATCCGCATGGTCTCGGGCCAGTTATGTAAAATCCACTTTTGCTACGGGGATGGGTTGCTCTGTGAAAGAGCCACTACTGCCTCGTAGGACTCTTTTAGCACAAGGCAGATCACAGAGTAAATCGACCCCTAAACTAGAAGTTTAACTCGCAAAGCTATTTGCGAGTTGGAACAAACTGTCGCAGCACCACTCTGCAAAGATCTCACCTGAATGTGTCAAAGTTTATTCGTTCTTCCCCCTGATCTTTAATTGTGTTTTATTTCTTTGCCTGGCTCTGCTCTTAACTCCCGAAGCAAATTGACGAGTTCATGGACGTGAACGAGGGGGAGAAGGAGCTGATGAAAATGTGGAATCTGCACGTGATGAAACACGGGTGAGTGGCGGCCACGTAAAACGGATGCTCGGCTTTCGCGCAGAGTTACAATGTTGGCCAAGGGTGAAGGTCACTTTTGTTATTTTATAAATCCACTTGATAACTCGGGAAAGCCTCGCCGAGCCTTAAGACTCTCTTTGTCGGGAACGGCCTGCCAGGTTTTGGCAGTAGGAGGTGATGTTGCAGCTGTGCGTAAATCTAAATTGATTTAATTTGAATGGTGATTGGTTAGCATTTCGATGGATGTTTGGCCGATACTAGTTACATTTTATGTTTTTTTTTTAGCTTTGGAAGGAAACTGCAGAACCCGGAGGAAATCCATGCAGAACAGGGGGAAAACATACAAACTCCTCACACAAAGGCACCCGAGTCAGGAAACGAATCCAGGCCCTTCTTGCTGTGAGGCACAACTGTTACCACTGACACCCTGCCGCCCCTTGGTGGTGGTGATGTTGGTGGCGATGATGCTGATGATGCGTGGTTGCGATGATGATGATGTGTGATGGTTGCTGGTGGTGATAGCACATGGTGGTGTGGTGGTGGTGATGACACGTGATACTTGGTGGTGGTGGCTATAATGATGCTTGGTGGTGGTGATGATGATGATGTGTGAGGGTGGTGATGATGTGTGATGGTTGCTGGTGGTGATGGTGCATAGTAGTGGTGATGATGCTTGATGATGTGGTGATGATGATGGTGGGATGGTGATGATGGTGGCGGTAATTATGATCTGGATGATGGTGCTTGTTGGTTGATGTGGTGCTGACACGAGATGGTGACGATGATGGTGCCAGGGTGGTGGTGGTGGTGGTGATGTATGGTCGTGGTGGTGATGATGATGCACGGTGGTGGTGATTGCCGTCTCTTGCGCAGCTTCATCGCGGACAGCCAGATGCACGGAGCGGTGCTGCTGTTTGTGGAGCAGTGGGGGCCGCGCCTGCTGGAGATGGGCCTCTTCCAAAACCTCCTGCTGCACCTCATCAGTCTGCACGACTTCAACCTCATCGGGCAGGCGAGCGTGCAGGCAGCCATGCTGCGTCTGCGCCGCCTACGACAGCGCCACCTGGCAGCGCTGGAGCAGCAGCGAACTGGAGGGCCGCCCCCCCGTGGCCTGGAGGTGTGACCCCCTTCCCCCACCCACCCTTCCCCACCACCGCACTTTGCTCATTGACATATGTGGGGCAGTTGTCGAGACACCTTGACAAACAGGGTAGAGGATAAGGGGTCTTGATGATAGACCAGGGTGTGTGCAACGCTTACGTCTTCTCAACGGGCAGGGATGAGGAGGTGGGAGCTCCTTCGCGTAGGAGGATGAGATGATGGAGCAGGTGCCCGGCTGAGCAAAACAAACTTTACACCTCGGTTCTCAACCTTAGCTGGACTAAGGACCTCTGCAGCGTCTACAGAGCCCCAAACCCCACCTACAGTGAGCACTGCTGTGTCGCTGCTCAGAGTTTGGAGGAGGGAGGGGAATGCTCACGTCCAGCTCTTGGCAGACTCCTTTTGGCATTTCTCTGACCTCAGTGGTCCGCTTTGGGTTTGTTGGACCCTGGTTAAGAACCCCCCCCCCCTCACCCCGAATCGGTGAATGCGACTCTGCAACGTGAATGGTGAACGGTGGACGCGACTCATCTGCAACAAATAAGACAAATTAGCGGATGAAGCCGGTGGAGCGCCGAGTGAGATCGACGGGACGTTAAGCTGTCAGAGAGCCGAGTGGTTAGCGCCGCTTGCCAGTGGGGAAGAAGACGGCAAAGGGCTCGCTGCATTCCCCCCCCCCCCCTTGCTGCCCAGTGTTTATGTCGAGTTGTTGCCATCAGAGTCACCGTGTGCCACATTTGAAATTGCCCTGAAAATGACCAGTTTTTAGACGTAGATTTATCCCCAGTCATGGTTAGACTTAACATTGAATGGGATTTGTCCTTTGGGGGGGAGAGCGCAAGGAATGGAGGTGAGGGGGGAGGCTTGGGATGGGGCAGACAGGGGGGGTGGGTAGCCTTGAGTTTCGTAATCTCCACTTCCGAACGTAATTGATGCACTCGTTTAGTCCAATAGTACTCAGGTGGGCAATTAAAGGGCTGTGGCATGCGAGGGCCTTTATTCATTGCCGCTCAGCCCCGTGTGAGGTGCAGCGGCCATCAGGCACTTGTGAGCGCGTGACAAGATGAGCACATGACATAGGGCCCTTCTCCCCCAGTTCGTGAACGCCACGTCGGTTCGATTCGTTTCGTTATGAGATCCGCTGCTGCTGCAGACTTTATCCCGCCCTTGGAGCGGATGCCACACCTAAGTCGTGGAAATAACAAGCCGCTTATTTTTAAAGCCTGTGAGCGCTTTATCAGTGTATTTATCTGGCACTGCGACCACAGTCCTGGCTTGTATATTGTGTGGAAAATATGAATATTTGGAATGTACGGAAGACGTAACGAGTGCATGTAATTACGCGTAGGTCCTCCTTTAAGTCGAGGGGTAATTTTCAGGGGCAGTGCTATTAATGAGCAGCCATCTGGGGTCAGCGTGGCAAGCGGGGTGGGGGGGCTGTGTGGTCATCGTTACGTTCACTCAGCCGTTCTCATCCTCGGCTGTCAGAAATCTGCATGCGTAGACGCGGAATGTTTGACAGATTGTCCTCCGCTGTTGTCCAACAATGCGCTGTGTCAAGAAACAACGAGTTCATTCATTCTGTGTCGGTGCACCAATTACTGTGCTCTGTTTGCCCATGGCTGTTTTGTCAGGAGACATTCCTGCCGGCTATGCATTTGTGGTTTCTACATTGCGTGATCCTTTATTGTTTAATGTTATTCTCCAAACGTACCACAGAGTTTACTGCAGGTCACTTCTTAATGTAATCGTGCCCCATTTCAGCGTTCATCGTGGCACACTGTTCCGGTCACCTTTGTCTTTTAGTTAGATCTGGTGAGAGCCCATTTGGCGCGTTGCAGAGTAATATTCAAGGTGGACCTGGGGGGAATGCTGGTGTGAATAAAGGAGGGTGGCACTGGGTAACAATTGGCAATAAGGATATCTTTTTTTAAACTGTGTCACCCATAAAAATAATTCACGCACGCGTAGTGCGAGATTCCCAAGTTCGAAACTACAAGGTGAACAGAGACAAAGTGTCAAAGGTCAAGTTTTGTTGGTCTACCTGGGAGTGGGGTGATGGGTGGTGGCGCCCCTTCACCGGTGGCACCGGGTCCGCGGTGGAAACTCGGCGCGTCTGGGTGCGGAGCAATCGCGCCATGGGCCCCACCGCTGCTTTCGCTTCCTGCAAAGTGGTGATCGATTTGTCGACCCTGCAAAGATGATGAGTTGAGTGAACCGCCCAGCCAGAATTTCAACTCGCAAACGTGTGACTACGAGTTTCCTGTAGTCTGTGTTCCATAATTAAAAACCCTTCTGGTTGTGGAGAGCATTGTTGAATAATTTTATATAACATAACAGATGATTGCGTACGTTATTAAATATTTATAGGTTAACGAGACAATTTTTTCCGTGGCTACACCACTGTTGACAATTGCTCCTGAGCTTCCGGCATTATCGACGAATTTTAAGAACCTGGGGATTATTTAGTCCTGCTCGGGAAGCCTCAGAAATTAACATTAAACTCAGAGAATCATGAAGGCGCCTTAGTTCGGCTCTGTGGCCTCAGGCAGCCGCGTGGATCTTTTATGAATCCTCACGGTTCGTTAGTCGGGCTGTCTGCTTGCCGTCACTTTCTTTTGTGTGTTTACAATACAGTCGTTGGTGTGCATGTCAACTTGTTTACTTTGGGATATAATCCCAAAGTAAACAATTCACTATTTATCGACGTGTCACATTGACTGAGCCGCGATGTTACAACGCTCTACCTGCCACTCAATGTACAGGCAGTGCACAAGGCATGTCGACTTGCTGGTGACATCTTTTAGCTCCTCAATAGAAATAATTTCAAAGTAAAGAGCTCAGATGTATCCGCTACAGCTGGAGCACGTTCTATATGACCCGCTGTGTGTAACCATTTAATTATTATTACTATTATCAATGGGCCCCGTACGTCCTTTGGACGTGGCCATCTGTCCGTCCGTTCCGCCCTCCGTCCCTTCTTCCCTGCCAGCCAGCCAGAAACAATTTTTCGAATATCGCACGTGCGTCACGCAGCTCGCCACCGTGCGAATTCGCAGTTACGCGATTCATCTTTTGGGGACATTATTCACACTTGCGCTTTGCGTTTCGAAGTTACACGCGCACGAAAAAAACAACAAAAATGCGTAAACTAAAATGCTTCTAAATAACGAAATAATTGCCAATGATCAATGTTCAAAGTAAAAGCGAAAAACGATTTCGCTGGTTAACCTATCGGCCCACCACCTTTCACGAGTAGAAGCAGCCCACGGAAAGCGTTCAAGAAGCCCTGATGTTACTCGTTATTTAGTCATCCTTGTAAGTAATAATGTTATACATCTTTAGTGATTATTATTATTTGTTATTAAACTCCTTATTAAGTATTTTTTTTGTAATATAAGTATTACATTTATATTTTATGGGTCTTTCGGTAAAGCCACGTAGATAGAAAAATTATAGAAATATCTCGACGTTTCGACCGCAACACAAGCAATCGTCTTCAAGGGGAAAAAAATGTATGCTTATTTTGTAAATCCAGGGCAAAAATAAAGAAATGAAATAAAACTATAAACTATTTTTTTTAGTTTTCCAGGTAAGGCCCCCACTGAGCTATATAGCTCGTTTTCAGAAGCGACCTGGCCACAAATGATAGCTCAATGAAGCAGCAGCCAAATACTCGAAATGCGTGATGTTGATTCTAAATGTGGAAGGAAAAACCAGAGGACCTGGAGAAAAATCCACGCAACTACGGGGAGAGAGACATGCAAACTTCAAATATGCAACAGGCATTGTCAGGGTCGGGATTGAACCTAGGACCTCCTGTGTCCCAGGCGAGGTCGTTCACATCTCGCCACCATGGCACCCCTAAAATGATTCTAAATTTTTATTCGGTAACACAACCCCCCCTTTTAACATGTATGTCTATGGAAAAATAGGCTTCATAAGTGCGATTCAACTTATGCACTGTTTTTGAAGAACACATGTCGTACAATATGCGAGGGACGCCTGTGTATGATATTATCGTATGAATCCCGCGCAAATGCGTGCGATCCACGGCTGGGGTGGGGGGTAGGGTGGGGGAGGGTTGGTGACATCACCCGCACGCATGCGGTTATGTTACAGCCAGTCAGGAATGTAGGTAGGAGACAGCTAGCCAACAATTTTAATTTTCTAATATGGTGTGATGTGTTTGACTGGGTGCAATAGTCAACGCATAAACAGATACTGTAAAGGTTATAAATTTTAAATTTTTGTATACATCGTATCAGTCTGCCTTTGCTATGCACTAGTAACGTGACACCATGGAAACCACCCTTCCAAACGAAATGTTTCCATCTCAAGGGATCTCCAGGTGAGGTACATCACTTGACGGCAACCAGGAGTTTGCGGCACAGCGAGGGCTCGCCACGCCTTCGCCGACGCACCGCTGGGCCCACCGGTGCTGTCCGTACATAGCCACAAAGCGGCGGTATAGGGAGAGAGGTCTGCAGGAAGGAATGTCCCCCGAGTGCTTCCGAGGCAGGGATCGAGGGCACTCGGGATGGCGTGGTTCGCCCCGTGTGGTCGCAGCCGGGGCTTGCTCCGAATTGCGTTTACAAACACGATGGGGGGGGGGAGGGGTCGGTCTTCCTTTTGTGCCCCGGGTGAATGCGGAGACGCCCTCAGGGGCTGAGGCCCTGATGTGCACAGCAGCCGCACGAGGGGAGGTGTGGCCGGCTCCTGCTCTCACCCGGCCACCGTTTTATTTAAATCGCAACCACTGCAACAGCTGCTGACGTCAGGCCGAGTTAACCTAGGATTGGTGCACTCGGCACCAAATTACCTCCCCCACAGTTACACGAGAAGCAGGGAAAATGCATTGGTAACTGGGTAATCTCGGTGCCAAATCTTGCACTCATTGCTTCGTTAAGGAGCCGCTTATTGCTACATCATGAAATGTTATTCGTCTTTCCCAAGGACACTTTACACGCATTTACAAAAATTTCAAAACGCACAAAAGTTGCCACAAAACTTACCACACCCCTGCCTGTTATGTTCTGGGCTAGAGGGACAATGTTTTGGGCCAGAGTAACACTGAAAACAATTCGATTAAATATAATAACGGCTTGCTGTGTCACAGACCAGTTGGCGCGCGCGAGCTATAAAACTCGCAAACGTTTTTTCTTCCCCGTAGTCGAATCCTGCAGCTAAATGTGAGGCTCCGTTAGTGACCTGGCCTGCCAGCTGGTGAGCCTCCTCTCGTTGCCTGTGGTGCAAGCTTGTCTTACCTCATTAGTGCATTGCGGCTTGGGGTTTCAAATTGCACCTAATATGAGAATTAAACAGCGCCTGGGTAAGGAGCGGGCGTAAGACAAACGCCAGCGGTCGTTCTCTGCCCTCAGGACTCCGCTCTTGAGGATAAAGTTAATAATTGAGTGCATTTGGTATTGGTGCCTTTCGTACAACAGAAGGCTATAGTATAGTCTGCTTGGGAGGGGGTGATGATGCTGGTGTGCGTGATTTTTACCGAGTCGCGTAATTTTTCACATTTGACGAATTTAGATGGCGACGCTGGCACACGTGCCCTACTATTTATCTAATGACATTACGGGGTCATTAACGTCCACTGCCAAGAGGACAACTGTAGCATTCACGGCTAACATTCGTTTGGCGAGAGAATGTGTAATAGGCGAGTCATGCGGCAGTGCCCTCGCCGGCCGTGTGTGGTTCCCGTAGACCTCCGCTGAACGTAGCGGACAGTCGTCGACAATATGCGTGACCTTGCTTGTGCGGTGCCATGGCTGCAGTGTTGTGGGTTGTCACGAAGACCCCAACAGGGGAGGTTAGTCTGCACAGAGACCTTTGCCATGTGTCCAGAAGCTTGTTCAGCAGGGCCCACTGATGGCGTGGCAGGTTGAAGCCAGGTGGGTGGACTGTGGGATCCGTGATGAGGAACCGATTTGGTGCTAACGTTGCCCTGTTGACGCGTTTGTAGACTTTTGTATGTACGTTTTATTTCGCACCATATGTCGCAAACCGTGCTAATCAGAGGTGCTGCACCTGTTGATATTCTCACCAAGAGGGCCCTGGCAGAGGCTGCCACCATTGCCACACAACGCGTGTATCCATTTTAAAGCGTCAAGCTCGGACGCGTATCAGCTTGCCAACGTCCGGTTTTCGGCGCTGCTGGGCTTCGTGCATTTCTTGTCAATCATGCTGCTGCTACCTGCATTGGCAGTGATGCACAAGCGCAAATAAGCCAAAAAAAATATCAACACATTTGTCAATAGCACTTTGTGGCCTTCAAAAGGAAAAGTATATAATCAGTGATGTTTCTGGCGACGGTCGTTCTACATTGCACATTAAGCGAGGCCATCGATATCCAGTCACACGCTTCGGGGAGATGTGTGGTGAACACAAACGTTCATCTGAAGCTGGAAGCGCTGGTGCAGGCCAGCGCCGGCCTGTTGCGAGCGCTTAACTGGGCGACAGTCCCAGGGGCCCTATCACTGCTGCTCGGGTCCCAGTCTTCACTGCTGCTTAACGATGCTTTAAACATAATCGCTCGGGTTCTGAAATTCACAAAGGGCTTTTCCCCCCTCCTTCCCTACCCCCAACCCCACCTCCACCCCACCACCTCCCGACAATGAACCACTCTTTCCCCCTGCCACCAAGGGCTCGTCGGTTGCCGGGGAGACGGTATCCACGGAAACGGAGAAGAGCAGCCCCTCTCCGGCGCCGCCGCCTCCGTCGCCGTCGGACGGCAGCGGCTGCCCCTCGCCCGACGCCGACCCCTGCACCGCCGCGTCGCCCGAAGGCAGCGGAGACTCGGTGGGGCCGGAACGCAGCTAGCGCCGCCGACGTACACGGCAACGACGATGTCGCCGGTGACGGGGCCGTGTTGAGGGTGGGGGCTGGGGGGGGGGGGGGGGGGCGGCAACCGCAGGCACTGGACCACCGAGACACGGGGGAGGGGGTGTGGGACGACGGACGCAGAGCCGACATCCCGGCCGTGACCCCCGAGAGGAGAGTGGTCAAAACCGGATTGTATCGGTCCGCGTGGATTTATGGGATGTGGTGGGGGGGGAGATGGGGGACGGATGTTCCTTTTTTATCGTTGTGTTTTAATGCGAGTCATTGTTTTTGTTGTCACCTTTCAATAGAGAGTAAAATATAGAAGGAAAAACAGGAGAGGTGTAAAACTGCCCCACGTTTTCCCTTGGGTCTGCTTGAGACGAGCGTTGTTCACTAAAGGAGGTGGCGGGCTAAGGCAAATTCGGGGCAACTGTTGCTCGCAATAGTTGACGCGTAATTTTATGTTCCAAATAATTCAGTGGCCCAGATCTGGACAAATCGGATCAGTGTTTCCGCCTGTGGGTGAGACCGGGATGGCAGGTGGAGTTCACATGACCACCCAAGGTTGTGTGCTCTGTAGACCAGCTATTTTTCACTGAACGTGCTATTAAACAAACTCTTGTTTTCCTTGACTGTTCATTGACTATATAATTTTTGCCGTATTAAGTTAAGGCAGTTGCTCAAAGTAAATATGTTGCTCGTGATAACTCTTGGCAACAGTTGCCCTAAAACTGTCCTAGTGTGTCATGGCCTTAATGTTTATGAGTTCAAGGTGGGAGGGGGGGGGGGTGCATTGGTCACGATGACATGGGCGGGTTTACGATGGTGCTCTCTTTATCTCTCAGTGCTGTGTTCTCGAGGAAATGAAATGGTGAGTGCAGAATGAGCGATGCTAATCGGCGTTGCTTCTCGTCCGACAATATGGTGTGATCTCCCTGATTGGCCACATTGAGACGTCGTGCCCTCGAGCGGTCCGCGTGCATGACAGCTGGGAGGGAGTCGCCCTCCGTAATTCCTCACCGCTCCACCCTAACTTTGTTTTTGCCAATCACGGGACGTTTTACTTCCTTTCAAAATCGTGTCACGGTGAAATGAATTGGCTAAGGCTGCCGTGAGCGCAGACTTCGAATTCCGTGCTGCAGCCTTGTCGCCGCGGCAACGTGTCCCGGGGGGTCTGAGGCTCGCACCGCCCGATGCCGTCGTACCTGGATACCAACGCTGTGTGTGGCATTCCCAAGTGGAAGTGCCTTGGTCATGTCGCACTGCTTTAAACACAAATTCAAAGGTAGGGTGGTGAAGTTGTGTGGGGTATTGCATCTTAATTCTCCCACGTGGCCACAAATCGATTTTTGCCCTGGGGGGGGGGGGGGGTCGCTCCGTGTCGATGACCGTTACAGCGCCTCATCTGCCTGTCGGACGCTTAAGAGGCGGGGGGCGCCCTCGACTTCAATGAAATCAGTTTTTTTTTAAGTGCGAGTCACATGCTGCTGTTGAAAAACAAAGCCTCTCCAATAATTTATTCACGCTCACGTGTGCTCCACACTGGCTTGTTACTTGAAAACCTGAAATTCCCGTGCGTGATGGTGGGGGTGGGGGGGGCGCGGAGGCTGCGCGCTCGTCGCCCCAACTCTTGGGCGCAGGTCCCACTGGCCGTGCGTTCGCCATAGCCGACGATTGGTGCTGTGCGTCCCGGCAAAACCGCTCCACTGAAGCTGCTCGCCTTCGGCTGAGCGGACGTATGAAGGCCCGATAATGTGTTGTTCGGTGTCCCTCCACGGCTGCTTTCGAAGAAGTGTAAAAAAAAGATAACCGATCGGTGCTGCATCGTTATTTGCCTGCGCTGTGCGCATTTCCGCACTTGGGTGTCCGCGAGCCTGGAGACGCTGGCGTTAGAAGGCATTTTCCGTCTCCCGGCTTTCGGTGGTAATCGGCCGGTGTTGAAATCTGCGCGTGGAGACGCGGGCACGGTCGGGGGTTGCGAGTCAACGGAGCGAGCGTTCTTCTCGCACGACAGCACGCTCGGGCCTGCAGCTCCATTCCTTTGCAGCGGATTGCCTATATAAAGTACCTTAGCAGGAGATAAAAGTACTTTATGAAACATGTATTGCTTTTGGTTTAACAAATTTTTTTTTTAGCTTCGCCGTGAAACTGCCGGCGTAATTTTATTTGCAGTGTGTAAAACCACCGCCTCGATCTAGATGGCCATAGTCAAAAGTTGTGGGTGAACTGAAGCGCACCGGTTTATGAATCGATCGGTACCAAAGTACTCTTAAGATAGGTGTGCGTGGGTGCAAGATAATCCTAGGACAAGTGCACACTCTGGGAGGGTAGGGCAGATGGGGGGAGGGGGGAGTCATTTTAGCAGCATTTTAAGAAGCAGCTCGTCAACGACACCCACGCGAGAACGTCACCCCGCGGGGTCTTTACTGTGGGAGCTTTGTCCATGCCAACTTGAACTGTGCTACAAAACGTTGGATGACGTACGGGGGGGCTCCGACACCCCGCGTGGAGGATCTGGTGTGGCGTTGAGCACGGGGATGCGAGCAAAACTCTTTTACATTTAGGTGTGGTGGTTCCTGGGACTTAAAAAAAAACTAAAGTATAAATTGATGATGCAAGTGGACCACACTGTGGAGGAGTGTTGGCAGCACATTTCGTAATGTACTTGCGGTGGGATGATTTCACTGTGGTGCTATTTGTGATCTACAGTACGTTCCGTGTTAGTCGTCGTCGTCGTGTGCGCGGTTGCATGTGCGTGCGCGCGGCCCCGTGCATCACCTCGGCCGCTCCGCCGTGTGGATGCCGCGTGGCACCTTCTCGCCCGCCTCCGCCGGCGTGCGTGCGCTGGCCCGGGTCGTCCGTTGAACCGGGACCGTCGATAACGCCCTCTTGCCCAGAAGCCAAATTGAGATTTGCTGCCAACGCCATAACACTAACCGATCAGTATCACGATTCTGAACGATTGCTGCACGTGTCGCAGTCGTTATCGACGTCTCGCTCGACAAATTTGGGATTCTGCGGCCTGCGCCGCATGGCAGAGGGCCGCTCGGTCCCCCCGCTGGGCCGTGGCGCCACGCTGTCGCATGAGAGCGGATGTGGGCGACGAGGCCGAGGTGAGCGTGTTGGGCCGCCCGCTCGCCCGTCCCTGCGCTGCGGCTGTCACAATAACGAATCAGAGGCAGCCTTCAATAACGTAACTACGCGCGTGTTTTGTTATCGAGTGGTGGTGATGGGCGGTGGGTGGGGTGGGGGGTGGTGGGGTTTGTGGGGAGGGGTGGGTGGGGGTGGGCTTCGTGTGGGGGGTGCAGGTGAAGGGTGTGGATAGGTTTTTTTATTGTGTAAAGACAAAACAAATCTGTTGAGGTTGTGATTTGTGTTTTTCCACTGTACCGTTTGTGTGACGGGCGGCGGCGCCGTTTGGGTGCTCTCTGCCGAGTGAGGACGTCGCGGGGCACGAACCTCTCGTGCCTCGGCCCGCTCGCTGACGGAGCCGGCGAGGGTCGCGTTTGCCCGTGGGTGTCCTTCGTGCGGCGCTGCAGCACGACTGGTGATCTCTCCCGCTCGGACGTGGCTTCCCTTGGCTGGAATCAATTTCACTGCATGTAAAATAGGTTTGCAGTGCTGTACAGTGTGTACTTTAGAGCTTTATACTCGTGAATTACGGTCATCACTTTTTTCACAAACTTTTGGATTACGGTAAAGACTGCCCTGTATCTTGTATGGTTTGGCTATTTTTTTGTTTCCTCTGGTGCAAGTATGCTAAGCCTTTAATTTTCTTTAATTCATTCAAGGTCGATGTATTGAACACATTTTTACTTGAATGTCGAGAGACTTTGAGGAACATTTCACACCTGCGAGCATAGCTCCATTCTGTTGGGAAGGCGCACCCATTTCTGGTTTTGCGGCTCGCCGGCAAACGCTGCAGGTTACGGATAAATGGAGTCGGTGCACGGCAGCTCGCGGAGGCGACACTCGCGGGGGCGACGCTTGTGCGAGTGTTGCGCTGGAAACAAACGCGTAGCGGCCTGCAAAGGCTGGGCAGGCTTCCTCTCACCCAGGGAACGGGAGCTGAGCCACAGAGTTTTGATGCATATTAGGACGTCGAATGAGCAGGTGAATATGCAATATTATAAATATTGTAAACACTTGAAGATAAATCCACAGGAAGAGTAATACCAACACTACTCAGAGATTTCTTGAAATAGAATTTATATATTTTCCAAAAAAAAGTCTGCTCTAGACATACTTTTTTTGCATTGGAAACAAAACATGCACACTTTGTTTTAGCAATCGGTGGCCAAAATTTCACGTTAATTTTTTTTTATTTCCTTCGTATGCCGTGGCGCAATTGGCTCCGCCAATCGGTTGAGATGCGAGCGTTCGTTTGGTTTCACCGCGCGCACGCACGCAGCGTTATGCATTTCTTTTCCTCCAAACGTGGCCGTCTATTTGGGGGGAGGGTTTTGTACGCGCGTGTATTTTTAAGTTGGGGTGGGGTGGACTTTTATTTAAGGCGTTAGTGACGACTCTGGAGACCTTTGTTCAGTCGAAATAAGCTTTGGACATTTTTCATCATTGAGACAACTTGGCCGGCTTTCGACTTTGATAACAGCAAATTCTCCCCAGAGGTCTTTTCACTCTTTTGTAGTCTCTTGCTTACAACTTATGAGTTATGAATTAAATGTATTCCTTCTTGTAATAAAGTTGTTTCCCAGTTTACCCAATGTAAAACCTTTTACGTAAGTTAAATTCATTTATTAATAAGAAAAATATAAAAAAAACTTACAAAAAAATTACTAACAAATTGTAAAAAGAAAGTCTCCCATGTAAAAAGTCTTTTTGTTTGTCACGTTTGTATTTGTATGGCCCTTATTTTTAATCAATGTTTAAAATTGTTCCAAAGTCAGCTGCAACTTTTGTTCAAACAGCTCAGAAAAAAACTTTCAAAGCAGCCTTTTGCTGTTTCCAGAGGTGATTTACTGTATTCTATTTAAATGTGACGAACTGTTTTGGTACAGTTTCATATCTGCTGTCTGCAAATTGTCTTCAGTTTTTTTTTGTG